TTTATTGGAGTTAAAATTAACGTAGATATATGACCGAACCTAACCAACCCTACCTAACCTAACCTAACCTATCTTTATAGGTTAGGTTAGGTTAGGTAGCTGAAAAAGTTAGGTTAGGTTAGATTAGGTAGGTTATGTAGTCGAAAATAAATTAATTCATGAAAACTTGGCTTATTAGGCAAATCGGGCCTTGCAAAGTAGGCAGAGAAGTGCGTTCTGGCTACTAGCTCATTCCAAAGAATGAGGTGATTTGGTGAAATGCTATGCCCAAGATTACCATCCGAGTTGCCAACGGGGAAGTGCTTCAAATAGCTTCAACTACCACTTCCTTTTGTCCGGCCGTGATGGTCAAGCGGATTAAGGCGCCCTGTAGTTACCACTTGCGTTGTTCCTGGGAGTATGGGTTCGAGTCACTTCTGGGGTGTGAGTTTTCTGTCATATATATATATATATATATATATATATATATATATATATATATATATATATATATATATATATATATATATATATATATATATATATTATTAAATATGACCGAAAAAGTAAGATTAATAATTCTAACACGAATTTTCTCTATCTTTCTTATGTTTCTTTTCACTGTTGATGGTAATTCAAAGATCAATTCTCCAAAATTCATTTTTATTTCTAGTCTGACGCGACACTTGAGCGCGTTTCGTAAAACTTATTACATTTTCAAAGACTTTAGTTTACAAACACACAACTGAAACTGAATAGAGCTTTACACATCTTCGAGGTTTATATCTACATTTGGGTGAGGTGGATGAGGTGAAAAACGAACTTTCAACAATAGGTATTCAATGGGTATTAAATTCCAACACAAGACAGAACACGAAACAATAGGTATTGAATGGGTATTAAATTCAAACACACAAGACAGAACACGAAACAATGGGTATTGAATGGAAGTAATTGTAGAAAGCCTATTGGTCCATATTTCTTGATGCTTCTATATTGGAGCGGAGTCTTGAAGTGGGTAAAATATAGTTGTGCATTAATTGGCTGTTGATTGCTGGTGTTGACTTCTTGATGTGTAGTGCCTCGCAGACGTCAAGCCGCCTGCTATCGCTGTATCTATCAATGATTTCTGTGTTGTTTGCTAAGATTTCTCTGGTGATGGTTTGTTTGTGGGAAGAGATTATATGTTCCTTAATGGAGCCCTGTTGCTTATGCATCGTTAAACGCCTGGAAAGAGATGTTGTTGTCTTGCCTATATACTGTTTTTTTTTAGGCTTACAGTCCCCAAGAGGGCATTTGAAGGCATAGACGACGTTGGTCTCATTTAAAGCGTTCTGCTTTGTGTCTGGAGAGTTTCTCATGAGTAGGCTGGCCGTTTTTCTGGTTTTAAAGTAAATTGTCAGTTGTATCTTCTGATTTTTGTCTGTAGGGACATAAGGAGTCAGCAAGCCGTTGTCAACGGCTAGCTGACTCCTTATGTTCTTTGCGCCTTCAGCCTGAAGTCTCCAAAGGAATTTGTTGACTTGCTTCGGGCAATACGGGCCACAGGGATAAGAGCCTCGTTGGACGTAGAATCTCTGTTTACCAACGCACCTGTGGATGATACAATCGGGATGATAGCCGACAGAGTGTACCGTGATCCGGCCTGTACTCCTCTTGACATACCCGAAAGCAGTCTAAGGAAACTACTCCAAGCTTGTACTAAAGAGGCACCCTTCTTGAGCCCAGATGGACACATGTATAAGCAAGTAGATGGGGTCGGTATGGGTTCTCCCCTAGGTGTCCTGTTTGCAAACTTCTACATGGGTACCATCGAGCAAAAAGTCTTAGTCGACATGAACTTGAAACCGGCCATATACTGCAGGTACGTTGACGACATTTTTACACAGGTACCTGATGTCAGACATCTGCAGGAGCTGAAGGAGGCATTTGAGCAGAATTCTGTGTTGCGTTTCACTTACGAGATGGAGAAGGATGGGAAGCTGCCCTTTCTAGATGTAACAGTCATGGAAAGGAGCGGAGTTTTCCACACTGCAGTCTACACTAAGGAAACAAACATAGGAACGTGCCTGAATGCCAACAGTGACTGCCCGGACAGGTACAAGAGGAGTGTTGTTAACGCTTATGTCGACCGTGCCCTCAGCCACAGCTCAGAATGGAAGCAAGTCGACGAAGAACTCTGTAGGGTAAGGCAGGTCCTAGTCAACAATGGCTTCTCCAATGGTTTCGTGGAAGACATCATAAGAAGGAAAGTGAAACGCCATGCAACCTCTGAAGAGACAACTAACACAACACCTATACCCCCTATTAGACTATTTTACAGGAACTTCTTTTCCACAGCCCATAAAACGGAGGAAAGGGTCCTGAAAGATATTGTCAGTAGAAACGTTATCCCTACAGACAAAAATCAGAAGATACAACTGACAATTTACTATAAAACCAGAAAAACGGCCAGCCTACTCATGAGAAACTCTCCAGACACAAAGCAGAACGCTTTAAATGAGACCAACGTCGTCTATGCCTTCAAATGCCCTCTTGGGGACTGTAAGCCTAAAAAAAACAGTATATAGGCAAGACAACAACATCTCTTTCCAGGCGTTTAACGATGCATAAGCAACAGGGCTCCATTAAGGAACATATAATCTCTTCCCACAAACAAACCATCACCAGAGAAATCTTAGCAAACAACACAGAAATCATCGATAGATACAGCGATAGCAGGCGGCTTGACGTCTGCGAGGCACTACACATCAAGAAGTCAACACCAGCAATCAACAGCCAATTAATGCACAACTATATTTTACCCACTTCAAGACTCCGCTCCAATATAGAAGCATCAAGAAATATGGACCAATAGGCTTTCTACAATTACTTCCATTCAATACCCATTGTTTCGTGTTCTGTCTTGTGCGTTTGAATTTAATACCCATTCAATACCTATTGTTTCGTGTTCTGTCTTGTGTTGGAATTTAATACCCATTGAATACCCATTGTTTAAAGTTCGTTTTTCACCTCATCCACCTCACCGAAATGTAGATATAAACCTCGAAGATGTGTAAAGCTCTATTCAGTTTCAGTTGTGTGTTTGTAAACTAAAGTCTTTGAAAATGGAATAAGTTTTACGAAACGCGCTTAAGTGTCGCGTCAGACTAGAAATAAAAATGAATTTTGGAGAATTGATCTTTGAATTACCATCAACAGTGAAAAGAAACATAAGAAAGATAGAGAAAATTCGTGTTAGAATTATTAATTTTACTTTTTCGGTCATATTTAATAATATATATATATATATATATATATATATATATATATATATATATATATATATATATATATATATATATATATATATATATATATATATATATATATATATATATATATATATTGGACATTGTCTTCTGTGTTGGCATCAATATGTTCTTGTCTTGTCCTTACTCTCATGGTGGGTAGAGTAAATAGTTCCGTGATTTGGGTGTTCATGGTAGGTCGCTCTATTCTTATGTGAATTGCCTCAAGAATTTGTAATCTTCTTGAATCTTGGGTTTTGTCTATTATGCAAGTATTCTTGTTCAACATTTCTCTTGTTAGAGTAATGTCATGGGCTTGTCTCATGTGATTCCTAGGGGCACCAGATTGAAGATGGCATGTCAAACGCCTCGTCAGCTTGGTCGACGTCATACCTATGTACTTACATTGAAGGTTACATCCTTCGTGGGGGCAAGTGTACATGTATACAACGCTTGACTGCTGCAGAGGGTTCTCCGTCGGCTTCGGGCTGTTTTTGATAAGGAGTTCGGAAGTCTTCTTGGTTTTGTAGAATATTATCAGGTTTATGTTTTGGTTAGGAGTAGTGCTTTTTACTCCTTTACGGATTATTTCTTTCATTATTCTTTCCTCTTTTATATGTTCACTGTGCATGGTAGATTTGTAATATAATTTTATTGGGGGTGTTGTGGTTTCTGTTCTAGGTTCTGAATTATACCAACGGTCCAAGTGTCTTCTTATAGCAGCGTTTATTTCCGCGTTGCTATATCCGTTGTTCACCAATACCTGAGTTACTCTTTCAAACTCTCTACTCACGTTGCTCCATTCAGAGCAGTGGGTAAGCGCTCGACGAATATAAGCATTGAGAACACTGGCTTTGTATCTTTGGGGGCACTCACTTCTACCGTTCAGGCATAATCCTATGTTGGTGGGCTTGGTATATACGTTGGTGCTTAAAGAGGTTCCTGTTTTTGTTATTAGTACATCCAAGAATGGCAGACTGTTATTTTCACTATTTTCATGTGTAAATCGGAGTACTGACTCTCTCTCTAGGTGTCTTTTTAGGTCAATTAGTTCATCTGAGTCTTTTACTATTACGAATATGTCATCTACATAACGGCGGTATACAGTTGGTTTTTGTCTGCTACTGAAGACCCTATCTTCGATGGTTCCCATATAAAAATTAGCAAATAAAACTCCTAAGGGGGGTTTATATATATATTATATATATATATATATATATATATATATATATATATATATATATATATATATACCAGTTGCGTTGCTTCTGGGAGTATGGGTTCGAGTCACTTCTGGGGTGTGAGTTTTCAGTTTATATATATATATATATATATATATATATATATATATATATATATATATATATATATATATATATATAATGTCCATTCCTATGTAGCTCCAAGTCTATTATCCTAGTGACAATATTCTATATCAAAACCGACCATTAAGGAGCCCCTGGCTGTGTTTCTGCCTGCACTGCTGCACCTGTTGGTGATGAGTGTGGCTCACACGCACCCGCAGGTCTGGCCAGGTAGCTCCACCAAAGTTGTTCCGGACAATATATGTTTTTTTTTATTTTAGATATCGCCTCAAACTCTGACCAGTCTCGCGATCTTCGCTTCCCAATGTTTGCCTTTTGTTTACCTCTGTATGGGTTCGGACTCCATCTCTGTAGGTGCTGGCCCCTCCCATCCCATCCTGGTGCTGACCACTGGCTCTCTCCTTCAGACTGTGGCCGGGGCACTCCAGCGCCCACAACAACCTGGGCACACTTCTTAACGACACCTCGGAGGCCGAGAACCACTTCCGGATGGCCCTGAAGGCGCACCCTCACCACGCCCACGCCTACTACAACTTGGCCAACCTCAGACAGTAAGTGATACTTAAGTTACACCATCTTTCGTGTCCTCTGCTTTCTGGTTAACCTCTTACAGCAGTTACGTGATCATTTCTGACTGCCTACACCCTCCACGCCTCACGCGAGCACTAGTTGTACTCCTCACAGGAGGAACAGTATCACCTTAGTTACACCGGACCGAACCGTACCAGTACCGTACCTAGTTACACCGTACCGAACCGTACCAGTACCGTAACTAGTTACACCGTTGTATCGTACACAGTCTACCCACCACAATACACACCATTTATTCATATGCTACACACCTCCACCAACCTAACCTAGCAACGTCAGTAGTTCATGTTCTTAGTATAATATAAAATTAATTAGAATAAACAAATTTGAAAAGAAATAGTTAAAAATAACGAAAATCACTCTGCCTGTTAGCCAAATCGGCCCCTTGCACACTAGGCCAAGAAGTGCGGTTCTGGCTAAGGAATCCTTGGGTTCCCTTAGCTTATGTTCTATGGCATAGACCTGGACTAGATGAAATAGTTGACCACATCACCCGAATGCACTCGGGCATGGGGTTATATGAGTTCAGAAGACTCTCCCCATGCTTATTGTTGGCTGGTGGTACAGTGGTACAGCACTCAGCTTTGTGGGCTGGTGGTACAGTGGTACAGAAAGAGCATTTGGAACTTTCATATATATATATATATATATATATATATATATATATATATATATATATATATATATATATATGTATAAACCAAAGCAGTATATAAACATGCACCAATAATCCCCAGTATACGCCCATATAAAGTTCAAAGGCTACATTTCATTGTTCAAAACGCTATAATTTCGTAATAATTGGCTGGAATGGCTGATATTCAAACTCATCCGAGGTGTTATAAAAACACTGCTTTGTGTGACACTTTTTCTGTAAATCCAATCACATTTGTAGAAGTAATTGCATCAGTAAACAAAAATAAACAAATACCCAATACAAAGGACAATAACCTAATAACATAAGTATTCTGAGTGACAAAAATCTATCTTGAAAAAGAGACGGGAATTGCATTAAGTTTGGTCGCAATGTAATAAGCTTCCTTACTGCAATAAGACTGAAGAGGGTAGTCTTATTGCTTATTTTATAATCTTATAGTCTTATATCTTATTAAGTCTTATAGTCTCATTCACGGGTTTCCAGGCTTCGTTATCGCTGCATCTGGCCGCGGCTGGCCAGGTATTCCCACTTGGGTCAAACTGGGCTCGAATCCCGATATCATCTATTTAAATAACTAGAGAGAAATGGGAGAGTCGGGAGAAGCTAAAAAAAAGGTGTCCACTGTAATATCTCCCACCTACACCAGGGGAGGGAGTCCACTGTTATATCTCCCTCCTACACCTGGGGAGGGAGTCCACTGTTATATCTTCCTCCTACACCAGGGGAGGGAGTCCCCCGTTATATCTCCCACCTACACCAGGGGAGGGAGTCCACTGTTATATCTCCCACCTACACCAGGGGAGGGAGTCCCCCGTTATATCTCCCACCTACACCAGGGGAGGGAGTCCACTGTTATATCTCCCACCTACACCAGGGGAGGGAGTCCACCGTTATATCTCCCACCTACACCAGGGGAGGGAGTCCACCGTTATATCTCCCACCTACACCAGGGGAGGGAGTCCCCCAGTGACATGACTCAGGTGATCAGTGTTCACCACCTTGGTCAGGTGGAAAAGGCAGTTACACAAAACATAAGCAATTCTTGCAAGGAACACTTTCTCTAACACGATATGGCCCTGGGTCTAAACATGGAGTCTATCTTCACTCTATCTAAACATGGAGTGAATTTCATTCACTCTGGCATTAGAAGCTTCGAACCAGTGACCACCAGAACAGCATGAGCCAGCAGAGCTAACCACTGAGCTACTGAACACTCCACAATATGAGAGAATCTGGAAGATACACAACTGGAACCATTTTGTCACTTTAGGCCTCCCACAGGGGTGCCACTGAGCACATATATATGACTGGGGCGTAGATCTCCTAGTGCCTCTGTGCTCAAGTGGCGGCACTTCAGTCTCAATTGGATACCAGTTGGGCATCTTCGAGGGCCACTCTTGTTGTGGTTCGTTCAGTAGCTTAGTGGTTACAGCTGCTGGCTACCGTTATGGTGGTCGATGGTTCGAGGCTCCTATTGCCTAATTGGATTAAGTATTATTATCCACATTCATTGTGGTTAGAAAAGTGCATATACATTATATATATATTAAATATATATATATATATATATATATATATATATATATATATATATATATATATATATATATATATATATATATATATATATGTGTGTGTGTGAGAGAGGAAAATAAACAAATTACAAGGTCTAAATACCAAAATTTATATAGAAATGTTTATATTACCAATATAACATCAGATACACCACCCTTGGCGTATGTATGAGGCTTTGATTGCTCATTATTTATATTGCATAAAATTTGAACTATAGTTATATAAATCCCCCTTTCCTCTGCTTCAGTTATATGAACCTCCTTTCCCCTCTCCCTCAGTTGTATATGATTCCCTCTCCTCTCCCTCAATTGCATCACACCCCCTCCCCTCTCCCTCAGTTGTATATGATTCCCTCTCCTCTCCCTCAGTTGCACCACCCCCCCTCCCCTCTTTCTCTGTCTCGCTTGTGAAAATACAATTTTTAAATACAAAAGGGACGAGACAACCGCACAAAGCTGGTTACGAGACATCCACCAGTATATTGATATACATTGTCTTGTTAATGTCCAAGGTTCAGAAGTGAGCCTTTGTTGTTTGTGGCCAACCCGTTGTTTGTGGCCAACCCGTCGTTTGTGGCCAACCCGTTGTTTGTGGCCAACCCGTTGTTTGTGGCCAACCCGTCGTTTGTGGCCAACCCGTTGTTTGTGGCCAACCCGTTGTTTGTGGCCAACCCGTTGTTTGTGGCCAACCCGTTGTTTGTGGCCAACCCGTTGTTTGTGGCCAACCCGTTGTTTGTGACCAACCCGTTGTTTGTGGCCAACCCGTTGTTTGTGGCCAACCCGTTGTTTGTGGCCAACCCGTTGTTTGTGGCCAACCCGTTGTTTGTTGCCAACCCGTTGTTTGTTGCCAACCCGTTGTTTGTGGCCAACCCGTTGTTTGTGGCCATCCCGTTGTTTGTGGCCATCCCGTTGTTTGTGGCCAACCCGTTGTTTGTGGCCATCCCGTTGTTTGTGGCCAACCCGTTGTTTGTGGCCAACCCGTTGTTTGTGGCCAACCCGTTGTTTGTGGCCAACCCGTTGTTTGTGGCCAACCCGTTGTTTGTGGCCATCCCGTTGTTTGTGGCCAACCCGTTGTTTGTGGCCAACCCGTTGTTTGTGGCCAACCCGTTGTTTGTGGCCAACCCGTTGTTTGTGGCCATCCCGTTGTTTGTGGCCAACCCGTTGTTTGTGGCCATCCCGTTGTTTGTGGCCAACCCGTTGTTTGTGGCCATCCCGTTGTTTGTTGCCAACCCGTTGTTTGTGGCCAACCCGTTGTTTGTGGCCATCCCGTTGTTTGTGGCCAACCCGTTGTTTGCGGCCAACCCGTTGTTTGTGGCCAACCCGTTGTTTGTGGCCAACCCGTTGTTTGTGGCCAACCCGTTGTTTGTGGCCAACCCGTTGTTTGTGGCCAACCCGTTGTTTGTGCTCAACCCGTTGTTTGTGGCCAACCCGTTGTTTGTGGCCAACCCGTTGTTTGTGGCCAACCCGTTGTTTGTGGCCAACCCGTTGTTTGTGGCCAACCCGTTGTTTGTGGCCATCCCGTTGTTTGTGGCCAACCCGTTGTTTGTGGCCAACCCGTTGTTTGTGGCCAACCCGTTGTTTGTGGCCATCCCGTTGTTTGTGGCCAACCCGTTGGTTGTGGCCAACCCGTTGTTTGTGCTCAACCCGTTGTTTGTGGCCAACCCGTTGTTTGTGGCCAACCCGTTGTTTGTGCTCAACCCGTTGTTTGTGGCCATCCCGTTGTTTGTTGCCAACCCGTTGTTTGTGGCCATCCCGTTGTTTGTGGCCAACCCGTTGTTTGTGGCCAACCCGTTGTTTGTGGCCAACCCGTTGTTTGTGGCCAACCCGTTGTTTGTGGCCAACCCGTTGTTTGTGGCCAACCCGTTGTTTGTGGCCATCCCGTTGTTTGTGGCCAACCCGTTGTTTGTGGCCAACCCGTTGTTTGTGGCCAACCCGTTGTTTGTGGCCAACCCGTTGTTTGTGGCCAACCTGTTGTTTGTGGCCAACCCGTTGTTTGTGGCCATCCCGTTGTTTGTGGCCAACCCGTTGTTTGTGGCCAACCCGTTGTTTGTGCTCAACCCGTTGTTTGTGGCCATCCCGTTGTTTGTTGCCAACCCGTTGTTTGTGGCCATCCCGTTGTTTGTGGCCAACCCGTTGTTTGTGGCCATCCCGTTGTTTGTGGCCAACCCGTTGTTTGTGCTCAACCCGTTGTTTGTGGCCAACCCGTTGTTTGTGGTCAACCCGTTGTTTGTGGCCATCCCGTTGTTTGTGGCCAACCCGTTGTTTGTGGCCAACCCGTTGTTTGTGGTCAACCCGTTGTTTGTAGCGAACCCGTTGTTTGATCCCAAAGGCGGATGCAGACCCATCTCGATGTTTGTAATTATGACACACGAGTGCCAAATATGTACAGCGATGCCAAACTTGAATTAGGTCAACGTCTTGTGTCTGGTGGTGACAAATGATGTTTTGAGAAAACAAAAAAAGGTCTGTCTCTGCTTCTCTGGCGCAACATTCTCCTCACTCGCACGTGTTGGAGGAAGGACCGGGATGTTTGAATCAGCCGGTGGATCCTTAACAATTGACAAGGCAGACGAGGAGTCACAATAACGTGGCTGAAGTCTGTTGACCAGACCACACACCAGAAAGTGAAGGGACGACGACCTTTCGGTCCGTCCTGGACAATTCTCAAGTCGATGTCCTGGACCGTCCTGGACCATTCTCAAGGGACGACGACGAAACGTCGTCGTCC